GATTCTGAGCGAAGACGGTTTATCTGTCTAGGATATATTATAGATTATTAAAAATTTTCAAATCTTAGATTTAAAAAGAAAATTTTTTATGAATTTCTAGTTTGAAATAATTTGCGAATTTTCGCAAAACCTTAACCTAACCTTCGAATGGCTTTTTTTTCTGTGGATTATTTTTCCCGTGTCTTTTTTTCTGACTACCTTACCAAAGTGTTGCCTATATACAATGTTTCGTTTTTCATCACTAAATTATTTTAGACGATTACTGTCATCATAATTTTAAATTTATGCTAAAAATATGGAAATTCAAGTCGTCAAGCCGGCTTTCTGTGGCTATCAGAACAATGAGTCCATAGACGTGCCGTGAATGGTGATTATTGCGATAGTTGGTACAGCACAGGCCACGACCAGCGAACAACGCGCTGTTTAGTTGGGGTTGGTTAGCTTTAGTGAGRTAAATAAAAGTTTAAATGTTTTTGAATTCTCAGCTGATGTACGAAACAGATTTAGTGCTTAAAAATCATTGTCGGAAACAATGCTTTTCGTATTGCAATCCAGGGCCCAGACGGGGAGTAGAAGGCGTATAATAGGACTATAGATGACCCCCGAAACAGCCTTTATTCAGACGTGATTTGACGACCAAGTAAAAAAGAGCACGTTCACGCCAGTCTGTTTTTTAAATTGAATATCTGGACTTGGAATAATTCCAGCAGAATAATATTTCTGGGCTTGAACCGAATAAAATCGGTTATTTTTCTAGATAATTGTCACTGAGAATATTTTTCTGAACAAATTAGACTAGTTCATTCTAGAAGTTTAAGTGTTCTGTAATAATAAATGAACAAATTTACATCTGAAAACAGTAATTCGAGTTCTACAAAGAGTCACCTCATACTCATCCTAAGTTCCCGACACCTGTATAGGCGATGAGATCACTACAGAGTACAGACAGAGGCGTATTTAGGCACAAGCCCTATAGGCCCGGGCCTAGAGCGGCAACATTGGAGGGCGGCAAATTTCAACAATTTTTTTTTACAAAATTAGAAAAAGTATTTTTCATTTGATGAAATCAAACTCAACTAATTTTTGTTCGCTCAAAATTAAYCATACTAGTATATCTACATATTATATCTCAATGTATCTTTTTTAATATAATATTATAATATAATAAATKGTATATTTAAATACGTTTTAGAAATAATTGTAGGAAGGATGGAGGTGGGAGGAATGCGGCGAATTGGAAAGTGCCTAGAGGCGGAAAAACCTTAAATACGCCACTGAGTACAGACTTACAAGTTACAAATATTTTATTTACAATGTTACAATATAAGTAAACACAACTGTTATGGTAGGTACTAGGTACGATATAATTTAATATAATATTGTATAATATGGCTATTATGAGATTTTGACTATTGACTGTTGACCTGTAGTTGAGACCAATAATTAGACTAATTAGAGGACAAGAGATGAGAAGTAAAATATGATTAATGTATCAAAACAGAAGATGGTTAGACCTGTATAGTTCTGTGGTTAGACGGAACGCGTCCGAACTCCAAAGTCTCCTTAAATCTAATTGATTAGATAACGACATATTACATAATATCTTTATCATTTGGAAATTATGATCATTTGYATATTATAGTGTTCAAATTTTCAACTCACTTTTTTATTACCTACTTAATATTTTTCCAACGTTTTGGTTTTTTCGTTCAAATTGACAGTTCTGTAGTACACTAGTACACTAGTACTAGAACAATTGAAAATAAATCAGTGACGATATTTGGGATTAGGGATAATTCGACCGTCGTGACTCACTGAGTCTGATCAACTGAAATTGGTTACTGTACAACGGTTTTCGGAAATCGACCTCTCCGGTCAAATGACGTCCACTGTAACGTCGTTGGACGAAGTTGGAGGGCCAGATGGAACTCAAAAGAGTGATAAAGACAGTGGCCAAAATAGAATCGCATCACTCAAGGTACCTACTTAAGGCTTTACAAATTTTTAGAAAACCAGCTTGGTCATTACTATTGTGATTTTTCTTATTCAAATATAACAAAATATGTTGTATTAAGTAGTGTACAAGTGGTAATAAGCAAWTGTTCATGTTAAAAAAATTATTGACAAATGTATTTTRTTTTGTTTTAGRAAGTCTATAATGAACAGAGTCCTCTTGTTGACAAAACMGTATTTCAACCTACACAAYTRYCTCAAAACACATTGTTTGACTGTGAAAATACACAATATAGGACTCAATATTTAGTGRCGTTGATCGGTAAGTTTTTGTATGTCCTACATTTGTATATGTATTTTTTTTACAAATTTATAGATTGTTACATGTGATCATAGTAACTATTGGCGGTTTTATTATGGGCACAACACTTGGATGGACATCTCCAGCTGGCCCAATGATGGAAAATGGCCAATATGGATTCCCCATTACTRATGAAGACATTTCATGGATAGCATCGTGCATGCCACTCGGTGCCATACTTGGATGTCCGTTTATGGGTGCTCTAGTGAACAAACTAGGACGTAAACGTTTGATGATATTGTTAATTTTTCCTGCGCTCTTAGGATGGGAAATGATAATCTGGGCTTCTTCTGTAAATATTATAATATGAATTCATATTTATATATTTAATATAATAATTGTTCTTTAAGGTAAAAATGATCTGTATTGGAAGATTTCTAAATGGATTTGCAAGTGGTTCATACTCTGTGATTGTACCACAATACACCTCTGAAATAGCTGATAAAGAAATACGTGGTACTTTRGGKACTTAYTTTCAATTACAAGTATTCTCAGGTATCTTATTCACCTATGTCATGGGATCATTTGTAAGTAGTTTTGACTGTATAAAACTTTGATWAATTTTTATTTAAATATCATCTTCTTTTACAGTTAAATGTTCATGATCTGTCTATTGCTTGTGCAATAATTCCAGTGGTATATTTATGTTTGATGTTTACWGTACCAGAAAGTCCAATTTTCTACCTTACAAAAGGAAATATTATAAAAGCYAGATGGTCGTTGAAATATTTCCGTAGACCTTTTGGTCAGGTTGACCAAGAATTAATTGCAATGCAAGAGTCTTTAGCTAAAGTACAAGCACCAAATATAAATTTACATAATAATTTAACAGTTCTGTATTGTGTAATAAATAAACAACAAATTTTCAGACTGAAAGAGATAGAGTTTCTGTCAGGAAAGCCTTCCAAACTACTCCAGCCAAGCGTGGACTATTCTTAGGCCTAGGGGTTATGGTTTTTATGCAGTTCACGGGATGTAACACTGTTATTTTCTACACCACAACCATCTTCAATGTAAATAATTTTGTTTTGTTTTAAATTACTATAACTGAATATTTTAATTTATTTTAGGCATCTGGTAGCTCAATTAGCTCAAATGCATCCACGGTTATTGTAGGTGTCATGGCTGTTATGTCTACATACGTGTCAACACTTGTTGTTGATAAATTAGGACGAAAGATTTTACTCTTGTATTCTGTTATTGCAATGGGAATTTGCACATTTYTCATTGGTGGATTTTTCTATGCAAAGGATTCCAATTATGATGTCTCATCAGTTGGATTTATCCCATTAGTGTCATTGTGTGTATTTATAATATTATTCTCCATCGGATTTGGCCCGATCCCATGGATGTTGATGGGGGAAATATTTCCAGCTCAAATTAAAGGTAATATTTGTTCTTGGTATACATCAGTTTATGTTATCAATAATTCTGTCATTTGTTTATAGCATATCGAGTAATATGCTAGCAGTTTTAAACAGCTTTGTTTTAAATTAAAAATTACGCATTATATTAAATTAATATCATTGTTTTTAGGTATTGCCAGCTCAATAGTATGTATGGCCAACTGGTTTTTTGTGTTCATAGCTACTAAATTTTTMTCATCATTGGTATCTGCTATTTATTTATACAATACATTCTGGCTTTATACGCTGGTCAGTGTTTTGGGCATATTTTTCGTGGTATTTATTGTTCCTGAAACTAAGGGCAAGACAATGGAAGAAATTCAGTTGTTGCTTGGTGCATAACCTATACTGTGATCATCTGAAGACTTTGAATGTAAACATTTTCCAAATCTTGAGTTGTGCTGCATTTATTTTATTTGAAGTTATTTTTTTTTTTTTTTAGTTTTATAAACTTCTTAAAAGTTAACTTATGTTTTATATAAAATTATAATTAAAATTTTTAAGTAGATATCTACTTTAAAATTCATATCATAATATGTTTACAATATTTACATATTAAATTTTTATACTTTTTTTACCAAAAAATTTGTATAGTCCTTTCTTATTTTAAACAAGTTTAATAATTATTTAATGCTCACTTGATTAATCAGGTTAAATTCTAACAAATAAATTATAAAATTGATCAAAGTTTCTATTGAGTTCTCATTAAATTGTTTATTTTGTGTGTTGTATAATTATTAATTTTGTACATCACATTGAAATCCATATAAATATTTTACAGGTTATGTACTTAGCTTATGTAATCATGACCATATTTACATTTACCAAAGTTATAATTATTCAATATATATTTTTTTTTATAAATATAAAAATATATGATGATTTTAGACCCATATTTCTAACACCTCACAGAATGTGTTTTCTCTGTATAACATACAACATTGAACATTTTATTTTTACAGTAAAACGTTTTACTAATATTTCTAAAACTAGTGAGTAAAATGTACTATTTAACATAATATTGGTCATATTGTACATTTATAAGACAGACAACACATGCAGCCAGATGCTGGTGCGGCGTTCTTTATGACTGGGGATGACAAAATGTGTTATTTATAATAAAAACTTATTTTTAAAATAGGTACAAAGAAAATAAATTAAGTTTTTAGTTAAACATTTATTTCTAAATAATATTTTTTTTTATCATACAAACAAAACAAATTTTTGGTTAATTTCTTAGTTATTAGTAAAAATTAATTATAATTATTGCACTTCACAGTATTAAGTGTTATAAATTTAATAATACACAGTGCAAATGATACTTTATAAAAGCATTTTTAAGTAATAAAAATAAATATTAAACTTTAAATAATAACTAATTTTAGTAGGATTATTAATAATTTTTTTCTTCTTTTGCAAATATTATTTAAATAATACAATTGGATATAAAATAAATTGAAACAGTCTTTTAGCACATTTGACAAATTCGTCATCAAATGATTTTTGTCTAACATTATTATTTAGAACTTGAACCTTGGAACATGTCAAACACCCAATGGAAGATGCTTGCACATATGGATTTTTAGCAGTTAATATACCAAATTTGTTACCGGACAACTGGCCTGAAAACCATACATGGTCATTTTCTCTTAAACTTTTTGTTGCGTTGTCCATTATGATGTCTTGACTATTGGTTAACAGTGTTGTTATATCACCACTGTTGCCCCATACACCTTCATTACTCATTTTTATTTCTATTTCATATGTATAACGATTCCATTCARATAAGTGGCAAAGATCAGATAGCTTTGAGCTCACGTTACAACCGAAAGAGTCTGAACATGTTGATAAACGTTTGCCCAACAGACAAGTCAGTGGATTTGATATAATCTAAAATAAAATAAAATATTTAAAATAAATTAAATTAAGGCACTTTTTTCTTATTCAATTTACTTTTGGAAAGAAGCTTAAAACAGCTAAAATGGGATTGTATACTGAAACAACCTTGCTGGATTTTATGTAACCATCCCATTGCACATTTTGACCAATTAATTGTGAGCAGTCAATATCGACCATCACTGTAGTCTCTTGAGAATTTTTACCAATATCTTTGTTACAAAATTCAGAGAAATCATTGTATGTTAAGTGATTGTCAGCAGGCGGCTCAATCCACTGTTGTAAACGCTCATAATTGTTAAAAACACATATTGTTGTACCAATTAAAACTATAAGAACCTAAAACAAATTACAGTTAATTACTAAATTAATAGTTTGGATATTAATTTAAGTACCTGTAAATATGTGTAAAACGAATCAGTGCGGAAACCTTTACGTTTGAAATATTGCAAAACTATATGTAAAATCCACATAAATATTAGTACAACAGGCAGTTGAATAATTTGATAAATTGTCTCAAAGTCGTTGCCAATAGTGACAAATGGCAAGAAAATACCAGTAATCGGAAACAGAATAAATACACAGACTAAGGCTAATATACTACGAACAAGCCCATACCATGTCGACTCTAAAAAACAATTATAAAAATTGATATTAAACGATTTACTAGTTTAGTTTTCAATCAAATATATATAACATACCTTGAGAAGCAACTAGAGCCATCTGCCACCATGAAAGTGTCATGCAATGTGGTATTAAGTCTGTGTAAATTCCTCTCCAATTATTACGTGCAGCCATTTTAACCATAATAGCTGGTAATATCAAATAAAATAACGCTCTAAAGTTGAGACAAAATTCAACACCATTTCCTAGAAAATAATTGTAAGCATTTAATATACCTAATATAAATAATAAGAACATAATTCACGAGTTAACTTACCAATGACATATGATGCAAACGTTGGTACATGTAAATCAAGAAACCTCCAGCCTTTGCTTACTACTGTGTCGGTTTCATATGGATATTTTGCTAGCACATTGACACAAAACGATAACAGCGCAATCAGATCTATATTTTTGGTTTTGCCTAGTTTTGGGCCAGATAACTAAAACAATACATACAAATATTTACCACATAAAACATGTATTCTAAAATATAATTTACCAATTTAAAATAAATACATTATAAGACATAGTGTAGTTACCGAAAAAGAATATAGTGTATAAAACGTTAAGCAAATTGATACAACGGTTAATTCAGATTGAAACATAGTGTCCGAATCAATTACAGTCTTCAAAAATAAGTGAGCTCCTAATGATGCAAAAAAGAAAACATATGGCTTAAGAGTGTTCATCAAATGTTGATATTCTGCTTCTTGAGCACTGAGACAACCACCACTGTATGTGATAAATAAGTTTGACCATCGGCGGAATCGTCCATAATCTCTCTTAGCACATAGCGCACATACTGTGGCAACCACCATTGCGAGCAATGATCCATAAAATAGAATATAAGGAATCAATAAACGAATACCGTCCAAGCCTAATATAAAGCAGAGAAGTGTAGTTATCAATGTTGGAGCATGAAAATATGAGAATGGATTTAATGGCAACTTGGAAAATCTTTTATTCAATCGTTCTTGAAGACAAAGATTATAATTGTGAATAATGTACACTGGCTGGAGAAATAAGTCACAAGTAGTAGATATGGCATTTTTTTTTTCTTCAATGGTAAGTATTTTTTGCACAAGTGGCATTTGCCCGCGTGAAAAATCTTTAGCAGCATTCACTAATACATCTTCAKTAAGTTTTTCACCAGATTCATTTATTCTGGATTTCCAGTCTAAAACAAATATATACATGTTATAGAATATTATAATTATAAATTGCAATAATCATGACAAACTTTGACATGTATACTAATAGAAGATACATAAGATAATAAATGTGATAATTAATTTATATTTATATTTTTGGGGGAAAGGCTTTTTATTATTTGTATTTTTCCAAAGATCTTGTATTGAGCAGAATAAGAACAGTTACTGGATCATCCAATAAACTCTAAGGTATAGTTAGTCAAAAATTTTTAATACCTTGTCGCGATGATTTTAAGCATTTGAATTCTTTAGAGTTTTCATCTACTTTAATCATGTCTGAGCTTAAGGATTTGGTGCTACATGCTTGATTTAATTCGTCTTTTAACTGGTCACTAGTAATAAAGTCCTCACCAGCTGACATCCTGTAATCAGAAAAACTAATGTATTAAATACATGAATAATTTAGTTAAAAATAGCAAATATATAATTGAATAAAGAGCATAATCAAAGTGTGGTAAAAACTGAATACATTTACGAAATTTGTAAATTTACTATAGTGTGTTGCTATATAGTAAATTATCATCAACTTCAACTCAGTATTTGATAATTTATAATAATTTAATAGAATTACATATCAATGATAACACATTTTTTGATTTGATTTAAAGTTAATTTTACAGATGCCCTCTTCATCACTCTCACATGTATATTCTACATCTTACAAATATTCAACAAAATATACGTTTAATAGAATCAATTTTGTGTTATACGATTTAAAAGAGTGATTTGATATATTATTTAATTTTAAGGTAAAAATACCACCTAAATTTGTATAATACTTTTCCTACAAATATTAAAGAAAAATTAACATACAAACACAATAATATTCTTATCTTTATGTTGTATAATAAATTGGTTTCTCCAACATTAATTTTAATTATTTAAAATTGGTTTACTAAATATAAATAAATTATAGTAAGACATACACCTCACATACTATATGTACACTGGTGTAAGGTGTTATTCTGAAATATTATACTATACATAATACATAAATGATAATATTTTTAATCATAATAAAACAATACCTATCAAATATTTCGTGTGCTGTTTTTTGAATGATTTTATCCTCTTGAGAAGTTTCCAGACAAACTTTAACATCTAACCAATTATGTTCAGTGATACCTAAACAAATATTCAGTAAAMAAATTGATGCAAATAAGTGGTAAGTTTAAAAAAAATAATTTTGAAGCTAAAGCCGCGTACACACTTGTAAAATTAGCGCGTAACATCCTTTGATGCGACTCAATTTACCGACAACTGGTGGAACGGTGTTACAGCGTAACAGAAAATGTTACAAGTGTGTATGCGGCTTAAGATACCTATTTATAATACAAGTGGCGATGATCGATAAATACTCATAAATAATCAGCTAAATTAAACTATGAACAAACCTTTTCCAGTGTCGAGACATTCTCTTAAAAGTTCAGTTGCCTCTTTATGTCCTTGCGACGAAGCCTTGATCAGCCAATAAACACCTAAACTAGCACTTTCTTCTTGATCTTTTTCATCTTCTATAAAGTGAAAGAAGATAATTTAAAAAATATTAATATTAAAATAGAATTTAAAATATTACTATAACTATCTAATACTAGAAGAAAAATTAAAATGCTTTGTTCTTAACTGTTTAATAATAAATATTAGAAATATAACTCATAATTTATAGTTTGATAAGTGGGTATCAAATTAATTCGTCTTACCGCAGTTCTCGTTCAGCAACTGTTTGGCCAAATCGACCTGTGAATCGGGCCATCCGTCTTCTGCCAAGAAACTTCCGAAACGGTTGTATCGGCTTTGGGTTCGATCTGCAGAGGGTGAGAAAAAAATTACCACAGGTGCACCCAATAATATTTTATATTATATTATTAAACAATGATGAATCGTTACTCAGTAAGGTCCAATGTTTCCTTCGTGTGGATTTCTGCCCGATTATGGGATCGGCCATATCCTCGGCCAGGTTTGAAGATCGCGAATCTCGAGAAAATCAGAACCAAAACACCTTTTATATTCACTTAACAGTTGGAGGCTTAAGGCGACAGAGCACGTGACATCTCGAGGTGCTGTCGATCGAGTGGCGAAAGGTAACGTCAAAAACAGCAATAATCAGCGTCCGACGTCGAAAACCAAAGACCGAAGTATCAGCGGCGTATTAAATTTCGTACTGCGGGAAAATATGTAATAACCGTGTCTTTGTGCGGTTTGTCAGACAATAATTACTCGCGACCATTAATCGGATCGATGCCAAATAAACACCCGGCGGCTGATCGTTGATCTTCGACCCCCAGGACCCCGAAAATAACCATTTACGGCATTTAAAGTTATTTATATATCATAAAATATTATATAATGTAATGTAAATCAAACGCGAAAATGTACTCGAGATAGTAAGTTGATACCGTCACTAAAGTCTTGGTCGTTGATATGTACACTTTACACTGTTTTATAACTATAKACAGAGACCTCCTCGTTGATACCGCAGCTGGAATCGTAATCACGTCCGGTTGTTCGTGAGCGGCTAATTTATCGAAAACGACAATAGACTGAAAACGCCGTAGATAATATCCACTTTGTGTACCAATTTCGTTATTTACATGGCTACATAATGGCTTGTTGGTGGGCAATAATTCTGTGATACAATATTGAAGCTAACGCAAAAACAAAAAGGYTTAAAAAGCGACTATATTATGCTCATCTAATTAAAGAATTTAAAAAACAATTATCTACCAGAAATTATTTTTTTGTCGTCTGAAAATAAAATTGAGTTTTCAAAATGTTGAATGACTGATTGAAAATTTATTTGACCAATACTGTACAGTAACTACAGTCAGTGCCGCCGAACCCTATGTTAAGGTCGGSCCATGGCCTGACATATTTTGAAAATTTAAGATAGGCCGCTTCATATTGACCATTTTCCTCTCCATGGCATGCCATTTTTTCCGATATTAAGATGTTGGGCCTCTTAAAATATTTTTCGCCCTACTAGATTTTTAGGTACCGCGAAAAAATAACCACGGAAAAAATAACCCCGAAAAAATAACCACGCGAAAAAATAACCCCATAATATAAGTTTATAATGAGAATTTTTTATTTATATATTAATGACATTGTTTTACAAATTTATACTTTACTACCAAATTATTATATTATATAAATTGACAAATTGTATTGTATTCCACGTTTATAATGAGAATTTTTTATTT